TGCCCGAGCCACGTCATCTGGCTCCTCTCAATGTGGAGGCGTAGTGGCTCTACTTTGAATCCCTCCCGAATGACTGAGCTCCTCACCCCATCTCTAAGGGAGAGCCCGGCCACCCTGCGGAGGAAACCCATTTCGGCCGCTTGTATTCACTACCTCGTTCTTCCGGTCACTACCCACAGCTCATGACCATAGGTGAGGGTAGGAACGTAGATCGACTGGTAAATCGAGAGCTTTGCCTTTTGGCTCAGCTCCGTTCTTCACCATGACAGGCCGATGCAGCGGCCACATCACTGCTGATGCCGCACCGATCTGCCTGTCGATCTCCCGCTCCATCCTTCCCTCACTCGTGAACAAGACCCTGAGATACTTAAACTCCTATACTTGGGTAAGTACCTCCTCCCTGACTCGGAGAGAGCACTCCACCCTTTTCCGGCTGAGGACCATGGGCTTGGATTTGGAGGTGCTGATTTTCATTCCAGCCGCTTCACACTCAGCTGCAAAATGCTCCAGTGAGAGTCGAAGGTCACGGTCTGATGAGGCCAACAGAACCACATCATCTGCAAAAAGCAGAGACCTAATCCTGAGGTCACCAAACCGGACACCCTCAACACCCTGGCTGCGCCTACAAATTCTGTCCATAAAGGTTATGAACAGAATCGGTGATAAAGGGCAGCCCTGGCGGAGTCCAACCCTCACCGGGAACGAGTCCGACTTACTGCCGGCAATGCGGACCAAGTTCTGACACCAGTTGTACAGGGACTGAACAGCCATTATAAGGCAGCCCGGCACCCCATACTCCCGGAGCACTCCCCACAGGACTCACTGAGGGATGCGGTCGGATGCCTTCTCCAAGTCCACAAAGCACATGTGGACTGGTTGGGTAAACTCCCACGCACCCTCTAAGACCCTGCCAAGAGTGTAGAGCTGGTCCACTGTTCCACGGCCAGGGTGAAAACCACACTGCTCCTCCTGAATCCGAGGTTCGACTATCCGATGGACCCTCCTCTCCAGCACCCCCGAATAGAACTTACCAGGATGGCTCAGGAGTGTGATCCCCCTATAGTTGGAACACACCCTCCAGTCCCCCTTCTTGAGGACTCTGCTTTCTCATTGGAAGGCGTGTTGGTGGGATTTAGGAGGTCTTCGAAGTATTCCTTCCTCCGACCCACAACGTCCCGAGCTGAGGTCAGCAGTACACCATCCCCACCATAAACAGTGTTGATGCTGGACCGCTTTCCCGCCCTGAGATGCCAGATGATGGACCAGAATCTCCTCGAAGCCGTCCGGAAGTCATTCTCCATGGCCTCGTCAAACTCCTCCCATACCCAAGTTTTTGCCTCAGCGACCGCCGAAGCCGCGTTTCGCTTGGCCCGCCGGTGCTCATCAGCTGCTTCTGGAGTCCAACAGGCCAAAAAGGCCCGATAGGACTCCTTCTTCAGCTTGACGGCATCCCTCACCGCCGGTGTCCACCAGCGTGTTCGGGGATTGTCGCCGCGACAAGCACCAACCACCTTTCGGCCACAGCGCCGGTCAGCCGCCTCCACAATGGAGGCACGGAACATGGCCCATTCGGACTCGATGTCCTCTGCTGGGACATGGGCGAAGTTATGCCGGAGGTAGGAGTTGAAACTCCCCCTGACAGGGGATTCCACCAGACGTTCCCAGCAGACCCGCACTATACGCTTGGGTCTGCCAGGTCTGACTGGCTTCCTCCCCCTCATCGAACTGCGGCCTAGGGTGTCCTGGTGCCAAGTGCACATATGGACACCTTTATGCTGAACATGGTGTTCATTATGGACAATCCGTGACGAGCACAGAAGTCCAATAACAAAACACCACTCAGGTTCAGATTGGGGGGGCCGTTCCTCCAAATCACGCCCCTCCAGGTCTCACTGTCATTGCCCACGTGAGCATTGAAGTCCCCCAGTAGAACAAGAGAGTCCCCGGGAGGAGCGCTCTTCAACACCCCTTCCAAGGACTCCAAAAAGGGTGGGTATTCTGAACTGCTGTTTGGCGCATAAGCGCAAACAACAGTCAGGACCCGTCCCCCCACCCGAAGGCGAAGGGAGGCTACCCTCTCGTCCACCGCAGTAAACCCCAATGTACAGGTGCCCAGCCAGGGGGAAATAAGTATACCCACCCCAGCTTGGCGCCTCCCCGTGAGCAACTCCAGAGTGGAAGAGGGTCCAACCCCCTTAGAGGAGACTGGTTCCAGAGCTCCAGCCGTGCGTAGAGGTGAGCCCGACTACATCTAGTCAACCTCAGAGCCTCATGCACCAGCTCAGGCTCCTTCCCCACCAGAGAGGTGATATTCCATGTCCCTAGAGTTAGCTTCTGCAGCCAAGGATTGGACAGCCAAGGTCCCCGCCTTCGGCCACTACCCAAATCACACTGCACCCGATCTCTATGGCCCCTCTTACAGGTGGTGAGCCCATTGGAGGGGGGACCCACGTGCCCGACCAGGCCCCATGGGTGCAAGCCTGGCCACCAGGCGCTCGCCATCGAGCCCCACCCCCAGGCCTGGCTCCAGGGGGGCCCCGGTGACCCGCATCCGGGCAAGGGAAATCGTGGATCCAATATTTTGTTCATCATTAGGAGTCTTGTGGGCCGCACTTCGTCTGGTTCCTCACCCAGGACCTGTTTGCCTTGGGTGACCCTACCAGGGGCATAAAGCACCGGGCAACATGGGATCATTGGAACACGAAAACCCCTCCACCACGATAAGGTGTCGGCTCCAGGAGATGGTAAATGTACATAAGTTATTCAAATGCCTGGGGGATTGTAGGCCTTGCACTCTGTCCAGGGAGACCTTTTCCATTTACATTTACTCAAGGGGAAAAAACACCCAGAACCTTCCCAGACCCATTCTTTTAATTAACTGTCATCTTTTATTTGCCTGCTGTCTTGTTATATAGGTGAGCTTTGCAGGACACAGAGTCACCTTAGGATTTGCTCTTCTCCAACTAGTTTCCTTGACATTTTCCTTGTTATTTTAACAGGGCAGCCTAACCTAGGCTGATTCACTATGCTTCCAGTTGTCTTCCACTTCGCTATGATGGCCTTCATAGTGGACACACTGAGGCTAAAGAGCTTGGCAATCTTTTTGGCACCATTGTCATCTTTAAACTTCTTAATCATAGTGCTTCTCAAGTCATTAGAAAGTTCCCCTGTCTTCATTTTTGTCAGTATTTGAGGTTTCACCAAATACGCAACTTGTACTGATTTCTCAGTTGTATGTTCCTAAGAACTGGCCTAAATAATCACTTATGGACCAGTCACCAAGCTAGAGGATTAATTGATTGATTGTTTACACCTGTTTTAATTAATCTCATTGCATTGTTAACAATCATACAGCCTCCAAGCAATTAGGGATCAAATACTTATTCAAAAGTAGATTTCACTGATATGTTCTTTATCATTGTTGCATAATTTGTTTTTCAGGATTTTTTAGTGAAAAAGTATTGTCCAAGAGGAACTCTTTTATATGTAACAATATGAAGCTAAAAAATGTACTATTAAAGGAAATTTAAAATTTGTCTAGGGGGTTGAATTATTTTTCAACCCACTGTAGCATGACCATCCTTGAATTTCCTCTTCCAACCTCCAATCTTGCTTACTAAATACATACATAATGATTACATGATTGACTAATTACTAGCTACTATTCTATTGTTACATATTGCTTGTACTGACAGTGGTTATACAAGTGTACCTGTGATATCCTATAATAATATTAAGTATTTCATATTATTAGCTCAAATTACCACAAACAGGACAAAAGCAAGGTTTTCCCCGCCCAACGGCTCATATGCTGTCAAATGTTACCGTTATCATGACTGCCTTCCCTCACAAGCCCAACAATTGCATCCCCTCTTCCCAATTGGGACAGTTCCTTGACTAGCACCAGGTCACATGCTACACAGCGTGATTTCTCCAGCAGACTGCCTCTCACGATTTTTACCAGAACAACAATGCATGCTGTCCTGAAGCCCAAGATAAAGTGCTGGTCCCACATCCCAATATAACATCTTCTTGCCTAATGGCTAACCACAATCACAGAATGCAACAGCATCTTCTTGCTAAGACAAAACATTAATCCCGAAATTCCCCCTACCCCAGTACCATTTTTCCACATTCCCCCCTTATGAACGTGCGGGCAACCCACACTGTTCACCAAACATCAAACTAGGCACCCATCCCCAAATTACCCCTGTCAGCACAAGTACGTAGGCAATACGTCGCATAAACGGCGGATGGTCGCATTTGCATCACGTTCCATTACGAAGCATCGCGTTTAATTCGCGAAAACGTCGGATCGTCGCGGTGTTGAAAGGCGTTGCTCGTCTAAACGTCGGATCGTCGCGTTTAAGTCGAAGGTCGCTTTTTGGTAGGGAAAACTACGCATCACGTCGGATCTTGTTTAGAAAAGGGCTTGTTTGCCTCTGGAAGTATAATAATATTATTTCATGTAGTCATATTATAGGGTATGGTATGATTTACATAGCTATTTTATATACTGGACATTGTTAAATGTTTCTTGTTATTATCGATAATGTTTATTTGATATCCTGTTTATATGACAGTATTTTAAATAAGAGTGCGCACTTGTGTGGAGATCTATTGAGAGATGTCCCACTGTGGGTTAAGACTTTGCAATGTCAGATGGCTATACATGCAACTGTTCTTAAATAAGTGTGTTGTTAGGGAGACAATGGTCTGCTTCTGCAGTTGTAGTCCATCATGTTTTCACTGAAAGTACTCAGTGGTTTTCCAATAAGTTTTGGGTGCTTTGTTTCGATATTCCGCTTCAGTTTTGATGGTTTTAGAGCTTCGTTTGAAAGTGTTAATCCACAATACACACACTGGGCCTTGGGCTTACAGGTCTGGCTTAAAGCAATGCATTCTGGTCCTGACGCAATGCATCATGGTTAGATTTAAACGTGGTGCTGGCGGCCCTATACGGACCAATAGCCAGTCTCCATTTTAAATTCGCGGCCCAATCTGTAGCCTTCGTGGCTCATCAGTGGTTGAGAAACGTGGTTTTAAAATATATTTTATTCCCTGTTAAATCAGCTTTAAAAGACAAGAAAAAAAAGAAACGTCTATTCCATCGCATACGCTTGGTTGGAAAGGTAGGTTGAAAATTATTTCTTAAATAGTTTCAGATTTGATTATTTATTGTTACAAACTTTTTATCGCACTTTAACCATTTTAACATATGGCTATGCTAACCCATGCTCGACTTTTTGTGTGATGTGTTTGTATGTTACTATTAATTTGAGTTGTATTACTATGGCGTAAGATCACTCTCAAAATACATGTGCATACTGAAAATTATCACAATTGTGCTTTTCAATTTTCAATATAATACAAGATAGTAATTTTGATCACTTAGGGTTTTAGAGTAATTTTTTACTGTCTTGTTTTTACTTCGTTACCCACAGGGCAACTTATACCAAGTCAATGCACACGTAAGTTGAAAACAAATCTACATCTGTCTTGATGTATTTTTAAATATTTAATGCTGTATTCTCTATTATTGACCTTACAGCAACAGAGAGGATCCTTCTGCAAATGTTGGGGGAGTTGCAGAGCCAGGTCCAACACCTGACAGGGATTGTTACCCAAAGACCTCCCTTTTGGGGTAACAGTCCTGCAGACACACCATTAACAACGGCAAGTGCACTGTACAAAATTGATTTATGATCTATTTGAATTAAATTATTTTAGATTGATTTTGGAATTTTTTTTTTTTCCTAGTCTAAATAATAAAGTTTCAAGGTGTATTTAAGTTTATATTTCATACCAATTATATTTCTAAGTGAATTACTATTAACTTAATTACAAAGATTTTTAAAATACTTTTTACATGTCTTTCTATAAGAATCTATTATTTTTTCAGTGTGCAGAGGATGGCGGACTTCCACTGCAAGACATTGAGGAGCTGAAGAACATCGAAATGCATTTGACTTTAAGAACAAATGTTAACTTTCAGAAAACTACCTTATACATAGCGAATACATGGATACTAAGAAATATAATATATACTTGTATCATATTTTATATATATATATATATATACATATACACACACACACCTACCTAAAGGATTATTAGGAACACCTGTTCAATTTCTCATTGATGCAATTATCTAATCAACCAATCACATGGCAGTTGCTTCAATGCATTTAGGGGTGTGGTCCTGGTCAAGACAATCTCCTGAACTC